ATAACATGAAGACCGCTTATCTCTCCCTGGTCTAAAGTCATTTTCCTTTCCGAGGGTGGGTTTTCAGTGGACAAGTCTTCCCCTGTGAATCATGCTCCCTTCTGCAATATTTTGTGTGCCGTACCGGCAGTGGATACAAAGCCCGCTTTATCCGTGCGCCTGATCCTGTCTCATCCAAAGAATGTTATCTGAACATTTCCACGAAATCCATCTTCATAGATTTCCACCCTCTGTCATCCATTCATGATGCTGCATCATAGTAATATAGGACATTTTTACTTCCTGATGGTGTGAAGGCAGAGTGGGGAAAGTTTGGAGAAGCGAGATTGTCATGATGTATCCTATAATATAAGCCGGTTATGCAAATTAATATGGACCTACACTCTGTAACAGATTAGGCCAAGATGAAAGAAAATTGGGTTGTGGGAAATTTACAGCAGATCTAAAATGGAGAGTATTGCCCATACCTCTTTAGGCACAGAAATGGCAGATATCATATGTTTGACATCAAGAGGGATACGTGGGTATATGTCTGCTCAGGATTTATAGTAGGGGACATGAGCATGGATGTTGGGTGAGAAAGACTTGTGTCCTGTCCTTTGCTAGCTGAGCGACCCTGGGAAAGTTATTTAATTTCTCTAGGACTCAGTTTTCTCTTTTACACAATAGATAGATGAAGATAACAGTACATATCTCATAGGATTGTGTAATAATTAGGACAAGCTTTGGCTGTGAGTAATAGAAAATCTAGAACATCAGTCACTTCAACAAGAAGAACATTTATTTCTCATAGAAAAGTCTGGGTAAGTGGGTCAGGGCTGATGAGATGAATCAGTGCTCACCAGGACACAGGCTCTTTCTGTCCTTTTCCTCTGTCATTCTCCACCTGTAGCCTCCACTTCATGATCCAAGATAGCTGCTCAAGCTCCAGCCATTAAAATTTTCTTCCAGCCAGCAGGAAAGAGAAAAGAGAAAAGAGAAGGAGAAAGAGAAGGACCTTCCCTTAAACCGCTTCCATTTACAAGTCATTGGCTAGAACTCAATCTCATGAATGTAACTAGCTGTTACGGAGGCTGGAAAATTGGGAAATGTAGTATTTATTGCTTGGCTAAATGTTGAGGATTCTTTATTGTCAAAGAGAGGGAAAATAGGTATGGGCCCACACAGCTAGCAATCTCGCCACAGATTCTTATGAGATGCAAATGACATAAGGTAGGTGGAGGGACGAGCACAGCGTTGGACACAGAGGAAACCCTTGATAATCATCGTCATCATGATCACTATCACCATGATGAGAAGGCGGGGAATACTTTGAAACTATGACGAGGTGTTCCATTATTTTAACTTCATCTTCCTGATAAAGTCACCCTTGGTGACTTACCTCCCTTTTAAGACAATTTGAGCTTCATTTTTTATGATACCTTTAACCACGTCCTCATGAAGTAATACTATATAAAAAGGAACACAAGGGGAAGGTGAACATAGGGGTCTTGGGCCAGGTGACAGAGAGGGGTTAGGGTGTGTGTGTAGGAATCATCTAGTTAGATATATATTATTGTCAAAGTCCTAGTTTTTATTTTGGGTAGTGGGTCACCGGTGCCTATTGCGTTATTAAAAATAATTATTGACTAACTAAATAAAACTGGAGACCCACGGACCCATGATCCAATGATGAAAGTGTCTCATGAATTGAAGATTATAATTAATCCAATTCTACGTACTGAGGTCCTTAAATTGTCTTGGTGTGCACTGTATTGCGTGGCATATGTGTTTGCATGTTAATAGTAGACAAAGGGAGTACTTTCTATTTGCATAGACTTTCAACTTTTGAAGCACTTTACACACCCATAGAAACTGTTTATTAAGTAGTTCATTACAGATGGCTGAGAGCTTGCTGTTATATTAGTACAAATAGGACTTTGGACTTCTGTGTCCTCTGGAAAAATATTTTATTTTATCCTTACAGTAGCCCTACGTGGTAGGGAGGGCAGTTGTTGCTGTCACTATTTTACAAATGAGAAAGAAGGAACTGAGGGGGCAAGGGACTTTCATGAGGTGACATAGCGAGTTGGTCCCAGAATGGAATGGAAGACTCTGGATCTCTTCCTTTAGCTTATCTGGCTCCTCCGCTATCCATCCATTAGGCATTAATTCTGCTACAGAGCAGGCACACCATGCTTATGTGTTGTGTTCATGCACGTGTGTGTGTTCTGGGTGCTGTGTGTGCAGTCTGTGTAATCGTGATGCTCTGCGTAGGCGCCCTCAGAGTCCTGTGTGCCCTTAGGCCTATTTGGCCTTGGTAAGTCCAGGAGGAAACCCCAGCGGAGTTTCAGTTGTCCTGTTACTCCTCCGTCACTGGGCTCCACCATCTCCCCAGGGCTCTAGCTGGGTGGGAAAGCGGCTTCGATACCAGGGATAGATCCCTAGGCAGTGAGCACTGGGCAGAGGAGCAAGACAGAGAGGTCTGAATAATGGCGATACTTAATATTCCATGGGAATTGATGGTTTATTCTTTAAGAAGAGTTCTCATACATACCATTTTATTTGAATCTCAGTCAGCCCTGAAAGCAGATTTTATTATCTTTCTCATTTTTCGGATACAGAGAGAGATTAGATGGCTTGCTCAAAGTAACTCAGCTGGAGGACGAACGTGGATTCAGCTTATTTGTCTCCAGATTCTGTCGTTTTTCCACTGTGCCTTGCTGCGGCTGAAAAGGCAGAAGGAGCTTATTCTCCTTCTGGCTTTGTGGAGAGAAGCCATAGGAAGCCCCCGGTGACCCTCTGCAAAGAAAACAGACCAACTCAGACCCCTGAGCAGCCCAGACCGTGGACCCCCTTCCATCTGAGAAAGAGCCTGAGCAATTGGAGGCTCTCCCCGCCTCACCCCTGCACACCTCCCTCCTGTCCTGGGCATCTCCTGTGTGTGCTTCAAGAAGGTGACAGCAATACTATAGAATTGGTAAGGTGAAGGTGTTTTCCAATCCGTGTGGCCTTAGGTAGTGTCTTTGTTCTTGAATATCCAGGGGAATCCTGGTAGCTGTCTAATCACATCTATCCTCTAGCCTAACAGGAAGCTCCTGGTTGCTGCAGACAGCGAATCCCTCTGCCTCGGGCTCCCAGGTTTGTGCCTGCCATTCTTGTGATGCTGTCCACTGCTACCTGTCTGTCTTCTTCCCTTCCAGATTAACACTGTCCCCCACAGCAGAGCTGAGCATGGCACCTTGTACATGGCACTAAATAAATGCTGCTTCAAAAGAGGAGCTGGGTGCAGTGGCTCACATTTGTAATCCTAGCACTTTGAGAGGCAGAGGCGGGAAGATAGCTTGAGGCTGGGAGTTTGAGACGAGCCTGGGCAACATAGCAAGACCCCATCTCTGCAAAAAATTTAAAAATTAGCCAAGTGTGGTGGTGTGTGCCTGTAGTCCCAGCTACCGGGGCCGCTGAGGTGGGAGGATTGCCTGAGCCCAGGAGCTGGAGGCTGCTGATTGGGCCACCACACTCCAGCCTGACAGAGCAAGACTCTGTCTCTAAAAAAAAAAAAAAATTTTTTTTCGGGGCCGGTTTTTTCTTTCCTTCCCTTCCTTCTTTCTTGCTTCCTTGCGGGCCGGTTGGTTTTTGGGAAGGTTGATTGGGGGGGGGGGCCTTGGCCTTTTTGCTTTCCCCCCTTGGTTCCCTTCCCCAGGGGCTTTTTCTTCGGGTTGTTTTTTTTTTTTTGGGGCTTTACCAGGGGCCATCTGTGGCCATAGGTCAAGCCTCATTCTCTAATCTGGCTTTATCAGTAATGAAGCTGAAGTTTTGTCCTCACCTATCTGGTTCCTTTGTCTTATTTCTCAACTGCTCTAGCAGTCAGAGGCTGGAGAAGGTCAGCAGGATGTATTTGATAATCATCCCCAAACCTGGCAGAATGAGTACAGAGGCCTCTGGCAGTTTATACTCAGGGCCTCCACAATCCCGTCCTTGTTCAGGGCTATGCTATGGGTCCAGCTAGATCCCTGGTATCTTCCTCAAGAGACACAGTGCTAACCTGGACAAGAACTAGGCTTCTTCAAAAAACCCCACTTCTTATGGCTGTATGTTCAGGGACTAATTTTTCCACGTGGAAATCAGAACCCATTCCCCAGACCTTCCCCTTTTGTTACACTGTCTCATCTGATCCTCTCCACAGCACTATGAAAAGGTATTGCTGTTCTTCCCACGGAGAGAGAGGTGCAAGGCTGGTTCAGGGTCACATGGTGCGACAGTGGCACAGACTCGTGGGAATTCAGGCAGCCTGAATCTCAACCCATCCTCTTCCTAGCTTGTATCCTTTTTAGTTATTTACATGAAAAAATGTTCAAAGGTATGCTTACTAAAGTGCTCGTGGTTACATAATAATAAATTTTTACTGAAAAGCAGTAAATTTATGAGAAAAGAAATGCAAAACTCAGAGGAACATGTTCAAGTTAAGAAAATATTAATATTTAATGAGTATTTGCCTCCCACCTGTCCCTGGGATGAATGGCTTGCATAACTCCAAGGCACGGCTAAGGTCTCACCTAGCTGCACTCTCTGCAAAATACACCCCCTCTCCCAATTCGCCGCTGCTGTCTAAAACATCCAGGCGATGGGAGAAAAATGGATTTTCTACCTGAATTATACAGCTACTTTTACACACCTCTCCCTTCCCTTTGCGTGGCCCTAGTTAAGAATCAGGATTTTCTTCTTCGTCTCCTCTCCCTGTCCCCCAGGCTCCAGCCCCTAGCCCCAGCCACCGCCCTCCGGGCTCCGGCGCGCTGCGTCCTCCCCTTTAAGGCATGCCCCTCCCCCACACCCACGCCTCCCCAAGCCCCGCCCTCTGACCCTCCCCTTTAAGGACCGGCCCCGGACGCAGACGAGGCTGTGACGCGGCCGCCGGCCCCGGGGCTGGGTTCGTTGTCGCGCGGCCGCTTCCCCCCGGCCGGGCCCCCGCCGTCCCGCGTTCCCCAGAGCGCCAGGCCCCCGGGGGGAGGGAGGGAGGGAGCAGGGCCGGTGGGCGCCAGCGGCGCACGGCGGGACCCACGGAGCCCCGCGACCCGCCGAGCCTGGAGCCGAGCCGGGGCGGGGAAGCCGGCTCCAGCCCGGAGCAAACTTCGCAGCCGGGCGGGGGGTGGCGGGGACCCCGTCCGGAGCCGGAGGAGGGGGCGGCCGCGGGCCCTCCCGCCTCTGCTCCCGCGTCTCCGGGCACCATGCTGTCCAACTCCCAAGGCCAGACCCCGCCGGTGCTGTTTCCCAACCCGCCGCCGCCGCAGCAGCCCCCCGCCCCCGCCCAGCCGCACCCCCCGGCCCAGCCGCCGCCGCAGCCCCCGCAGCAGTTCCCCCAGTTCCACGTCAAGTCGAGCCTGCAGATCAAGAAGAACGCCATCATCGACGACTACAAGGTCACCAGCCAGGTCCTGGGACTGGGCATCAACGGGAAAGTTTTGCAGATCTTCAACAAGAGGACCCAGGAGAAATTTGCCCTGAAAGTAGGTTTGGGGCCCCGGGAGGGGAGAAGCGGCAGAGGGGACTCCCGGGGACGACCTCTGGCGCTCAGTAGCGGCAGACGCTTTGCTCGGACCGGCTGTCCGGGCAGAGGGTGGCCGCGGCGGGGCTGTCCGGCCGGGGCGCCCGAGGGGTGCCAAGTGCGTGGCCGGGGCCGGCGGGAGAGGGGCCAGCGGGGGAGGTCGGGTCCGAGTAGACCACGCCGCCCAGACCGAGTTTCCGGTCACCTCCGGGCGTGAGTGCCGGGGACACGAGAGGACTCCTGGACACTCTGCCATTTTGGAGTTTGAGCGGGATCCAGCCGAGTCGGGACGGTTGCCTTTGGGACCACTTCTGCTAATTTCACCCCGTCTCGAGGAAGTGATTTTCAGGGGTTGTGGTTCTCCATCCTCTCCTCCCTCCTTCTTTTCTTTCTGCGGGCACAAAAGGCCCATTACTCATTGAGCTGGTTGGTCGGTTGGTTTGGAGAAGTCGGATCTCAGAGGTTTATTTAACCTCGCTCCTTATTTGGGAGCCGGAATGTGTGATTTCACTTCCCTGGGCCTCGCGAGGGCAGCCGTGCCGCCTTGGGGCGCGCCGGCCGGGGAGGTGAGGGCTGGAGATTTCCGCGGAGACACCGCCCCCCGGGCGCGAGGGAGGGATTGTTTTGATCCGAGGGCAGGCCCCCTCCTACATCAGTGCCTGGGAGGCTCCAGATGGGAGGCCAGCAGGCTCCGGCGCTAGGTCTGCTGTTTCCATAGCTCCATTGATCGTTGTAAACCGAGTCTGTGAACCACGGTGGAGCCCGGTGCTGATTCCGCCAACCGGAGATGGCCACTTCGGTCCCGGACTCGGACAGTGGAAGGGCAGTAGGAGGAAACCTTGTCCTTGAGCTAGGGAAACCCAGCCTTTTTTTTTTTTTTTTCTTGAGGGAGTGGTAAGGGGAGAATGGGGATTCAAATGGGAATCCCCACTTTAGAAGTTAAACAGAATGGACTTGGAGGTCTGATGAGATGGGTGGGTCCCCATGAAGTGTGAGCCAGTCGTTCAGAGTCATCAACAAGGTTTTCTTCTTAGGGGTTTCAGGTCAAACCCATCTCTGAAGGTGACATCTAAGGTTTATTTACCCTGGGGTGTCTTAATGATTGGAGGAAGAAAAAATACTTCCTGTGTTATGTTTTTCTCTTCCCCTTCAACCCCCACATCTAGCTGTATTTCGGTTATCGAATACAGAACTCAGAAATGAGTCGTGGGTAGAACTATTGGAATATACAATCGGATGTAATAAAAACCAGGTACTTAGGCCTTGTAGAGGGCAAACATGTCTGATTTCTAGATTTTAAGGCCTCTAGAATCATTTCCTTGCTACTTTCATACTCAATACTGCCAGATTTCTTTGGTTTCTCACATAACCTCTTGCTGTGGGATCTCAGTTATTGTTTAAGTGTTGACTGTTGGAGAGGAAAAATATCTGTATCTTGAACACTTTAATATTTGTGCCTTAGATTTCTCTTTCCGTACTCATAACTGAGGGAAAGGAGGGTTGTTTGGAATGACAGTAGCTCTGACCTTGAATGAATACAATTTGACCACAGTTAACCTGTACTGTTGACCGACATTCTTTCCACGAGAGTTTTCTATCCTCTCTGAGACACCATCTGCCTTCACCCATCAGCAGTTTGGGGACACTGGCTGTTCATTCTCTTGGATAGTTGGAATATTGTATAAAGACCTCAGAACAAAAGCTCTCAACTTCTCCTTATTCTGTTTAATAGACACACACCCAGAACCATCCTCTAAAATGCTTTCGGGTGACACTGCAGATTTCTATTGTACTTAATAGGAGAGGGGTTTGGATATTTTTCTCCTTTTAATAGTTTTGAAAGGAAAAATCGAGCCGTATGTTAAATAACACTCGTAGCTTATCCTTCCCAGGTTAGAAGTGGGTGAAGAGTGAAGTCAGAATCTGTTTTGACAGGCAGCCTGCTCCCAGATCTTACAAGTTGACTCAACTGTTAAATTGCAGATTCCCCACACATCTTTTGTGTTAAAACTTAATAACAGAGGAAGAAAGGAATGGCAAGGCATTCGGAGACTGACAGCAGTGTCAACAGCACTTCCATATCCAAATGTTGGCTAAGACTTAATTACAGCTGTGGGGGCAATCTGGTTCAAAGAATCCTGTTCCAGAAACATACACCAAAGAGATTTCTAGATCTTGAATTTTGATTGACTTTAGGTGGTGAGTAGTGAAATGATTTTTAAAACCAGGAGTCTTGATTATAAAGCAAGAGAGGAAGATGTGGGGCAGAAGGGTTTTACCCCATGGGGAAGGTGCCTGAGAAAAAGGGAGGGGACGTCTACTCTGCACACTGTGCTGAGGGCACTCCTGGGGATCTAGGGCAGAGTTGCAGGGCAGCGCCTGGCCTCTGCCGGGGTTCAGAAGGCTGCTATCTTGCAGTCCTGAGAGTTGGTGGGAGCTGGTGGCTGTCCGGATGCCCTGCTCTGTCTGTGGTCTGGTGACCTTTTAGCCCTGTTAAGTGAAATCAGTGCTTAAGAAATGGTCCCAACTCACTCTGCTGCTTTTCTCTCTCCACCTCAGACAGCTAACATTTAAATGCTTTTGGTGGGTGCTGTGACCTCACCTCACCATCTCTCCTGGCTGCTTTTGCTAAATTCTGAGTCATACTTACACTTCCAGTCAGAGTGGAAGGGACTTAAGAGGTCATCTCATCCAGCCCCCTCAATTTACAGATGAGAAAACCAAGGCCCAGAGTGGGGGAGTGACTTGTTCAAGGTAACAGCATTCACTTGGCAGAGGCAGGGTTAGAACCCAGGTCACTTGACTCCCATTCTCAGGTACTTCACGCTTCCTAACTGCAGTGACTCTGAAGGGCTGGGAGCCTGAGAGGTATTCTGTCACCTCGGGCCCTCCTTTGACTGTCAGGGAGGAGGCTGGGTGGCTATTTGCTACTTCCCCAACAATCCCAAAGTTGGAGGGGTAGCTTCGAAACCAACTCTGCAGCTCCATGAGTTTTGGACCTGCTGTAACAAGCTTTTTTACCACTGCCTCCTTTTTCTAGGGAGTTTTGATAGAAGCCTTACTTCTTATTTTTTGTGCAAGAACATGGGAATTCTATTAATTATTTCTTTGATAAGGACACCTAGTCTCAACCCACTTGTGTATGAATTGGTTGTATTCCCTGTGGGGTTCCTCAGCTGCTTCCTGCTTCTCTGTGTCATAGTGACTCTTGGGTATTAGCTGAACAAATTTAATTAAAGCCTGCACCACTGTCCATCTCTCCTGTGCAACTCTGATTAGGTTAAGCGTGTTATTGCTTTACTAAATGTAGAATGTTGTCATCACTTATCTCTGTTTATCTTTCCATTGTGTGGATTAGAGAAAACCAGGTCCTGGAGTTTCTTCTCCTTTCGTTTCTCCAGCAGTCCTCCCCCCCACAGGTCATGTAAGTGGCACTGCAGTGTGGCTTCTTTTGGTGTCATGAAGGAGAGATCTTGGAACCTCTCATGATTTGTCTGGACACTGTTGGAGGGAGAGGCCAGAGCTCCCACATCCCCACGGTGCAGTCACCATCTCCTGTCCAGCACACCTCACGCTGGGTACCTGTGGAGAGCAAGACGGGTAGTGTGGCTGGGTGAGAGGCAGTGTCCCAGGTTGGGTTTTGCTGGATGGAATAACAAGGTCAGGAAAGTTTCATTGGCCAAACCAGCCTCTTTTATATCGAATGTAGTTGCATTTAGTTAACAGTTTGCTGAGTATACCGTAAACTTAATCGCTTGTAGGATACGGATGTAAACAGTGGCCTGTAAAATTTTGAGAGTCTAGAGACCTATCTGGAGAAGGTGAAATTAACAAATGTGGGCTAGGACTGCACTGTCCAATGTGGTAGTCACTATCAACATGTGGCTTTTTAAATTAACATTCATTAACATGAATTAATTAAACTACATTAAATTAAAAATTCAGTTGCTAGCCATATTTCAACTGTTCAGTAGCCACATATACAGTGTGGAAGAACATTTTCATCCTTGCAGAAAGTTCTGCTGGTCTTTGTTGGTCTAGGACTAAATTGTGAGGCTGGAAGTAGGGAGCTTTGAAAGAATGGCATCTGTGAGGACTCAGGAGCGGAGGGACGCTTAGGCTGGGGTCAGTGGGACGTTGCTGGGCCTCTGAGAAGTGAGCAAGTCTGCGGGAGGACCGGCTCAAGCGGGGGCAGCGCGGGGGGAAGGTGCAGGAGATCAGGGTGTCCAGCAGCAGTGGGGCTGAGGCTCAGAATTGAACCTAACCCATCTTGTGTCAAAGCAGGTTTGAAGGTATTTGGGGGGCATGGGAGTTAGATAAAGAAAGGTTATCAGTCACTGAGGTTGAGGCCTGTGGATTTTTGAGGCAAAGGTCTGGTTTCTGGTTTCAGAGACCCTGTCCCTGCCTCCCTTGGGAGAAGGCTCTGGCCCTGGTCCTGACCCCTGTCAATTGCAGCAGGGCTCTTGGCATCCACTGAGGCAGGATCAAAGCCAGGTCGGCTCATGGTTCTTTTTTATTGTGAATTCTGGGCTTTGATGGAGCTTGGGAATAATCGCCAGCTAAGATCTGGGCTCAGTGGCTGACAGGAGGGGAGAGAAAAGCAGTCTTAGGGCCTCAGGGCCAAATATTGGTGGGTGTCTAGGAAACAAAGGGCTCCTTTTTGGGAAGATGAAGGTGTTGGATCCATGGTGGAGATGTTTCCACTACTTGGGACCTGAGCGGTTGGTTGGGCCATCAACAGTTGATGATTTTTCTTGAGGAGCAGGTGCAGGAGATTGGGAGGAGGGCTGGGAGGAGCCTCAGTACTGCAGGAGGCAGACTTAATCCCTGGCTAGTCCTGGGGCCGGGGGAGGGGCCAAAGCTCAGGAGCGTTGGGATCTGTGCCAGGAGGAATGTCAGCCAAGGTGGGGAAGAGCAGGGCACTGGTGGCTTTGTCTGGGCTATTTCATTCCCGAGCTGCCC